CTCCTCCAGCCGAACTGCCTTGCTTATATGGGCAGCCCCTGATTCCAAAAATGGCTGCCCTCATCAGGTACCTGGTGGCTGCCAGTTGCAGGCCCTTAAAGTGGCAGGCACCAACAGTGCCCTGCCACATCCCCATGTTCTATCAACACTTAACTACTTGGTAAATCAGAGTCCTTAGTGTGATTTGGGCCCCACCCTATCTCTAGCAGCTAAAGATACCACGCTTAAAGCACATAGCCTCCAGGACACCTGCTGACTTCCTGCCCCTGGGGCAGAGAGCTGGACTCAATGATCTTCCGAGGTCCCTTCCAGCCCTAATGTCTATGAAATCTATGAAAACAGACAACTGAAATCTGTTCCCATGCATGGCTAAACAGTTTTATTAGCTATAGCTCTGGGACACTTTTGTCCATATTTTTAAAAACTTCACAGAAAAGAGAGACAGCTTCTCCTCTCCTTCAAGTTATATTAGATATGATACAGTAATTCTGTATGAATTTTATATATAAGCAGAGATAGCAGGGAATAATAACAGATGTTTGGGTAACAAGCTCTGCAGAAGAATACTTCATGCTAAAATAAAAGCCTTTTTCATGGACAGATAAATATGACTTCATCAGAGGCAGCTTTAGGGAAGGTGCAGTGGTGAAGCTGCACCCACCTGCTCCACCTAAAATTTAAAGCCAACTACTGGGAGGGACAGCTGCATTTCTAGTCAGGCAGTGCTGAGAGAGAGAACTGATTTCATGGCTCATTGTCATATCCCTGATTCAGGCTAGTCTCTCTCCATTCCACAGGTGTTAATGACCCTCTCTCCTTTTTAATGGTCTTAATGTTCCGCGACTGAAACTATCCTTTCTTCTGAATGTTGCTGTCTGTTAAAAGAGAGCAATTACCAGAAAAGGCTCTCTCGCAGTCCTGCAAACTGCTTTTAGCTCTAGCTAAAAAACTTAACTCAGGTTTGGTAATATAATCTCAAGTATAGAAATGACTGACATTGAAATGTTGGAGGCACTCTCAAGACACTCAGGAAGGCTAGATTTTATTTTATGAAACCAAATAAGAGATGTACATTTAATTATAATGACTACAGGACTAATGAAGCGATATCTTTTACTACATTGACTCTTTTTTCCTAGTTTATTGTGCTTTTTTTTTTTAACTTTATGTATAATCTAGCAAATTAGTGCACATTCCAATATTTCTATTTGTTTTTGCTTTAATCTTATAGGCTAGGGACAGAAATTACACCTAAACCTATATAAGTGATCCAAAACTGGTTCAAATCTGTAACACAAGAGAAGTTCAGTGCATATATACCACTTTCAAAATGGTCAAAACTGGTTTAAGATAAGCCTGGATGGACATAGTATCAGACTTAACTGATTTGTTACATCAGTTTATTGAACTTTTGTCCCAGATCCCCTCCAAATTCAAGTTAACTCAAGTGCCCGTCAGCATCCCATGATACTTTGCACCTCCCCCTGCAAGCCCTCCCTCACAGGGTGGGTGGGCTAGCTTTGCCCAAGCTGTCTGCTCCAACTGAGCAGGGAAGAGTGCTCTAGCACCCCCCCAGCTTCTGGCCTGGATGACTGCAGGCATGGGGCTGCATTTCTGGAATAAAAAGCGACTGTCTGCTCACTTGCTTATCAGCAGAAATCCGCGTTTTCTGTTCACCATAGGAAAACACAGTAAAATGAGGATTTTCTAATTTTAAAGGAAAAAAATGTGGATTTTCTTTAAAGGAGAAGAATGCAAGAAATGGTGGGTTTCCCCTTGCAGACTGGCAGAGTTCCAGCCTGCAAAGGGCTAAGGGAAGAAGGAGAAGGGCCATCAGGAAGGAGGTACCACAAGCAGGCAGCATGAGAGCAGCTCCCCGCAGGTAAGTCTGCGGGGGGGGGGGCAGGGATTGAGGCCCCCATAGTAAGGGAAGGAGAGAAGTGGGCAGGGCTGGAGCCAAGGGTGCTGCCCAGGTCGGGGGGTGCACAGGGCCTGGGCCCGGGGCCGGAATGCACAGCTGTAGGGCCCACATGGGGAGCGGGATGGAGCCGGGGGCAGCTTGTACCAGGAGTGGAATGGGGGCTGATTACCAGTCGCTGCACACACTCCCATCGGGAGCATAAGGGACATGTGCTGAAGAGGCAAGGAGCTGCAGACCCGGGTCCCTGGCCCTACAGCCATGGCAACTGGGGGGGGACATGAGTCAGGAGTGAGGGGCACTGGCAGAGCCAGAGGGCTATAGGTCAGGAATGAGGAGAACTATCAGGGCCAGAGGGGCTGTGGGTGGGGAGTGAAGGGCACCAGCAGAGATGGGTCATTGTGGATGGAGAGCGAGGGGCACCAGCAAGGCCAGGGGGGTTCTGGGTGGGAAGTGAGGGTTACCGGCAGCACCAGGGGATTTTGGGGCAGGAGTGAGGGGCACCAGCAGGTCCAGGGGGCTGTGGATTTGGAGTGTGGGGCACCAAGAGGGCTGGGGGCTGTGGCTTGAGAGTGAGGGGAAATGGCATGGGCCAGACACCAGCATATCAGGGCTGCTCTGCACTACAAAGCAGTGGTGGGGTGGACAGCCGCAGCTGGACCCACATCCTGGTGAGCGAAGAGGGCAGGGGCAGCTCTGATTTTCCATGATAAAAAAACCAAAATTAAATGCCAAAATGTACAAGTATTTTGGATGTATTATGTTATAGTGATGGAGGCAATCGTAGGCTTCCACATTGCTTTAAAATTGTAAATACATCAATAAAACATTGTGTTCAGCTGATACCTGTATATATAGTGGCGTTTCATTTTAATTGCTGAAAAATCTGGATTCTCATTGTTTTAATCAGAGATTTTGTGATTTTTATCATAAAATTTGCTATTTTTAAACAAAGAGAACCAGGATCCCTGCTTACCAGTATCAGTCTATATAGCTTAGACTAACCTGAGAAGATTTAAATGATTCAGCCTTGGGCTTTTTGACTGGCTGTACTTAGCCACAATAAATAAAAAAGTGCTAACCCTTTACTTATTAGTAAAGAATCTAGTTTCTCTTTAACTGGAAAAAAAAGTTTTGTGTTTTATTTGGTATGTGCCACACCATCTGCACTCCCTTTTTTAAAATCCTGGAGCCACCCATGTATTTTATGGATACATCTCTTCTAATTTTAAGCTTTGTAAAATCTGCTTTTTTTTGTAGAACTTGCTTTTCAAAATCTAACTTCTGGAAAAATGATCGCAGATCTCTTTAATTTACATAAATTAGTCATATGCTTAAATAAGTTACTGAGTACTGGAAACCAAGATATGCTTTGTATTGGTAACTTACAAAACCAGTTTTGGTCTTTTTTAGATAGTAGATAGTATATCTCTGCTGTCTTTAATGCCACTGATTTCAGGGTCAACACTTCCTAAATGGATGTATAAAATGTGTTCACAAAATGTATGCAAGTGTAAGTGGAGGCATTTTTTTAACAAAACATACTGCTATCTATGTAAATATCAACTGTAATAGCACACATCATCTTACCTGCACCTTTGCTCATTTGGGGCATGCATCTACATTTTTATATAAGTTTAAGTGGTCTGCAACCAAACACATATTTTATGTATGCACTGTTAATACTTTTTTTAAAATTCCAGATCTTAGGAAGTTTATGGTTAGTTTGTTTATTATGGTTGGTTCTTACTATTTAGACTGCAATGGTTTTCCACAAACATAAAGCAACAAAGGTCTTTCAGTTAATACCTTCATCATACTTTTCTATAATGAGGTAAAGGTATTCAATTTGCAGAACCCTAATTGATTTTTTCAGCCATAAATAAAACATCTAACTTCTGACACTATGAGAGAGACCTAGATATCCTCACTGCTCTTCTTTAATGGACTAGAAAAGGATTCCTCAATGAGCAGGATGGCTAGCTCTCTAGCCCACAGAAATTTGTGTTCTTGTTCTGGTTTGTTTCACTTTAGGCACCAACAGAGTGTCTTTCAACTACATGCAACAGGGTAAACTCACTATGTAAGCTCTCCATGCTGTTTGCATGCTCACTGGAACTCAGCAGCTCAGTAATGTTATACTTTTCCCCTAGCTTCATGAGCCCTAAGTCAACAGTACTCACCTGCCAGGTGCGCACCTGAACCCGATTTGGCTCAACTGTATAAAGGCTTTCTTCATGTACAGCCAGGACTGGAGAGTCACAGAGAAAAGAACCTGGAACATTCACAAAAACACCATCACCATTACAACAAATTGTTATATAGAATTTTATCAAAAGTAAACATTCTCTCCAGATAGACATCTCTCACAGTGGAGTTCAAGAAGTCACTAGTCTCTGAAACGTTCCCAAGAAAAGCAGTTTTCCCTGAGAGCCGGCTGTTTCTGACTTACAACAAATCTGTTCTTCAATTGTTCTGTAGCAATTCCCAAAATACTTATCACCATCCTCCTTCCCATGTGCTGGATGTGCCGGTATATTTTAAGGAGCAACATCCAGAGTAAGAAATTCTAGTTCATATAGAATGGTGATCTGTATCCCCTACTCACAGGGAGAGGAAAAACAAAAAGCAGAGGAAGAAAAAAGGAAATTGAACCCCATCCCCCCTTTTTACGATCAGATGAGATCCTTCATCTTTCCTCTGTTCTACTAAAACTGGGAAATAGTAAAAGATGTGTCAAAACAGTGAATACTAGTAAAATACTGTATATTATTGGGATATTTACTTTATGAATACATTGCCTTAGTAAGAGATGGTTGTAAAGACAAACAACCTAGGAAGAAAAATGGATTAAGGTAAGCCTCACAAAACATTTGATGGTCTTTAAAAGAGACAATGCCAGAACTGTTAACCTTCTATCTCCAGCCAACTTACAGAACTATTTTTCATGAGCCTGGAACCTGAAAGGATCACAGCAGATTAAAATAGGTTCCCTTCACAAAAAAAATACTTTTTGTGGAACTGTTCCGGGAGAGAGGCTGATAAAAGACACAGTGAGAAGTCTGAAGAAGTTAGGCCTGCTCATCAGCAAAGGATGGTAAAACTTTAGGTAAGACAGACATGGGTGTGGATTCTTGTTTTACAATTCTTTTTCTCTAAGTGCTTGTTAATATTATGTTAAAACAAATAAAAGACAGCTGGTCACAGGGAAGAACTGCAGGTGCTAAACCCAATCAGATCTGCACTACTCGAAAGCACAGATATATACTACAATGGCAAACGGTATAAAATTTAAATTAAATAAAATAGTGTATGTAAATCCAGTTGATATATCACTTACCATGGCCCAGGGATTGGTTTAAGGGTCAGAGATTCCAAAATTCTACCTCAATAGTAGATGTGTGAGGCCTGACACCTGAATGAGTGTGGTTAGACAGCAGAAAGGGGAGAGAGTACTGCAGCTAAGCAGGGCTTCTGCATTTCAACAGGAAGTTACAATTAAATAATGTTCCATGGTTTTTTGCAAAAAGAGGTATTTTTGTTTTTATTTTTTGATTCTTTGCACTGGGAATTTACATAAGCTAACACTTAATTAGGAATAGTGCCCAAGGAAAGACTGAGAGAAAGACATTAGATGTACTGTAAACACACACTGTGGAAAGTAGTAGGTGGTTATGACAGTTTTAACAAGCAAATCTGTTTCCAGCTTCTCAGCATCAATAGATGTGAAATTAAAAACTGTTTTCTGTTATTTTTAAACCCTTATATTTGCATCAGAGTTACAAATGTGGTTGTGTAATAATGTGATATACACTGTATTATGAAAATTGAGCTATCTCCACAAAAAGATTTCAGAGTCACAACACTGAATGCTGCATTACCCAACACTTAAAGGACTTGCTGCCTTGTATAATCCACACCCCCTTACTGGGTACATAAACCCTCTATTACAATGCAGGAGGATAGTTGGGTACCTAAGAATGGGACGCACAGCAACAGTAGATTGAGTATGGAGCCACATAAGCTAGATACCAGAGTATGCCAACTGAAAGCTGTTCTTATAATCCCCCTCCCTACCCCCCTTCCCCACCCTCACAACATCTCTCAGGGACTAGGGCACCTAGATCAGGGCTGTAAGGAGTGTCTCTCTCCATCTGATTCCAGCCACGAGCCCTGTGCTGGAATTAGATGCTTAACTCAGCCTTTCCTCAAGAAATAAGAATGGAGAAGAAAATAGTCTGCCTTTAGTCCCATAGCTACAGCATTCACTCAGGATAGGGAAACCTAGGTTCAGCTGCCTCCTCCATTTAATCTGTATACCCCACTTCCCAAAAGAATGCCCGAACTACACAGCTATAGAGCATTCTGCAGTGGTTCCCTCTGGCCTTCCTATTGAAACTGCTTCATTTTTCAGGGGACACTGAAATATTAATTGGTCCAAAGAGACAGAGGGCACATGTCTGGCTAGAGTGCCTAGAGATGGGGCACTCATCTAGGAGAGAGAGAAACCTGATATAGCCCCTGCTCCAATTAATAATTAAGTATTTTGTGTTAAACACTGAAGGAAACAGGGACCAAAACCCAGGTCTATCCTCTTCCAGATGAATTCTCTTATTACGCTGGTGTAGAAATGCTCACACACTCTGCTGACCAATGATAAATTATTCCATGAAAGGTGAAACAGCTTCATCAAGAGGATCTGATAGAGCCCCCATTATAATATCCTTTAACTGGGGGTTCAGGCAGTCTCCTGCGAAGTGGGAGATATTGGTTTAAGTCCCCGGAGGCAGACAAAGAAGTTGAAATATACCCTCCCACATGCTGGATGAATGCTGTAATGAACGAGCTGTTGAATAAAAAAAGCTCACTGAGAATAATATGCTGGCTACTAGGACTGTTGGAAATTTTGGCAGCCATTTCATTTCAGAGGTGTTTCTGCCCATTTTGGTGCCCAAAACACTGAATCCGAAATGAAACGGAAGGCTCTGAAACATCTCCAAATCAAAACAAAACCACCCAAAACATTTTGGAAATGTTTTGGCTGTTTTGGCGCTGGGCTTGCAGGGAAACAGAAACTAAGAAGAGGGAGGGGGAAGAGGAGCAGAAGAACTGCTCTGATATTGACATCTGTAGCTGGCCAGTGTCTGCGATCTGTCCCTGAGGTCCTTCCAATCCCAGTGCTCTGGGAGAGGGACAGCAGCCTGCTGACATTCCGTGTGCAGATCTGGGGGTCCACACCCCCCAGGAGGAGTCTAGCACAGCCCCGCAGCCCTCCTTAGAGGCCAGCACAGCCTGCAATGAGCACAGCTGGGGGAGCCACTGGAGAAGCCCCCATGGCTGCCCTGCCTGGTCCCATCCCCCACCTGGTCCAGCCTCCCAGCACTTAAAAACAAACAAACAAACAAGAAAAAAAAGCCCTACACTCACCAGATGTAGCATGGGCTGTGGGGGCTCTGGGGCCTCCTGGCAGAGCACCCCCATCCAGCTCCCCCCCCATCCAGCCTCACCTCGATGATGCCCCCCCACCACCTAGACCCAACATACCAGCAATTAAAAAAAAAAGCCCTGCACTCACCGGCTTTGGCAGCAGCAATCAAGGCCTCTGGGCACTTGTGGCAGAGTCCCCCCATGCAGTGCAGGGCAGCTGCCTTCCACTGCCCTGCACTGCATGGGGGGGCTCTGTCACGAGCCCTCAGAGGCCCTGATCGCAGCTGCCAGAGCTGGTGAGTGAAGGGATTTTTATTTTTTACTTTTTTTAAGGGTTGGGAGGCTGGGGCCCGGCAGGGGATGGGGCCGGGCAGGGGTGCCATGGGGGCTTCTCCCGCAGCTTTCCCCACCCAGGGAGAGGCAGGCACAGCTGAAGAAGCCACAGGAGAACCTGCAGCCGCCCGGCTGTGCCTGCCTCTCCCTGGCCAATCTGAATCTCCGAAACAGCATTGAAACTCCAAAACAGATTCAGCCAAATCAAAACGGAACAGGGATCCGAAACGAATCAGTGTCCTCTGAAATAACACACAGCCGTTTCGTACTGCCCTACTTGCTACCTCTGGAGCTGCCCCCCCTGCACTCTGCTGCTGATTGGCTGTGAGGACTGTCTGTCATACAGCCATGTCCCTCACCACCAATTGGTGATGAGAGGTGTGGCCACATGACAAACTTCCCTCACAGCCAATCAGCAGCAAGGGATGGAGCAACTGAGGTGTGGGAGGGCAGATCGAGGCCCGTGTGGTAAGGGAGAGAGTGGGTCTGGGGCTGGGGCCAGGGCTACACTGGCCAGCCAGGGTGGGGCAGGGCACAGGACAGAGCCTCAAGTGGCTCATCTGGGGCATGTGGGGGGGCGGCTCCCACCAATGTGCACACCCCAGGAGAGCATAGGGGATGAGTACCCCTGGATCTGCATGGGGCAGGCTCTTCCTGGTGGGGGCTGGGCCAGGCTGTGCTCAGGGTAGGTGGCTGTGGCACT